AACTATATTTACAAATTTTTTCAGACCAAAATATCGAATTATTTATCGCCTAGCAGCGTTTGATGGAGGTCGTGTTAAAAAAAGGTACCTTAACGGGCGGCAAGCTAGCGCCTTCAGTTTTTGCCCGAAACTAAAAATGCGAAGTTCCTCTTAAACTAGATGACATTTGCTGGAGGTTGAACCTAAATAATTGCAAAAAAATTAAAAATTGATAAAATGGCGGACTTCGGAAAAAAATTTTTTTTTTTTTGCCCTTTTTTGGCTCTTTTAAGGGCTGTAAAAAGTAATAATAATGAAAAAATTTAAAATTTTATAGGTTCAACCTCCAGACAATTTAATTAGCTTTAAAATAAAAAAAAAGCGTATCTCTAAGTGCAGTACTTTTCGAGATATGTTGCCGCCCGATTCAGAAAACATAGTTTCGAGAAAAACGCGTTTAAAGTTTTAGAAAGTGAATGTACATACATACATACATCGTTCCCTTGTAAAAAGACAGCTTCGGTTTTTTGCCTATAATTTTTTAACTAAATCGATTTTGATAAAAAGGGTTTCGGGGGTGTATTCTACGGGACATTTGCTATCTAAGTAAGCAAAAAAAAAAAATCGATTTTTTGATCGAGTCTCATGAGAGCCTCCCCTTAAACTAATTTTTCTCCATTCTAATAACTATTCAGCACAATTTATATACCACCATTGAAAAACAGAGCTTTCAAACTTCAAGCGTCTAAAAATTTTTATAATTTTTTTTCATTCGGCTTTGACTTGCATAAAAAGCGTGAATTTTTTATCGAATACTGAGCCCTAGCGTCGAAAAAAATCGAACTCCCACAAGACGACGACCTGTAGCTGGGCAATTGTCCTTCGTCAAATTTAATTTTTTTTCATTCGGCCTTGACTTGCATAAAAAGCGTGAATTTTTACGTAAATACTTAGCCCGAGCTTTTAAAAAATAGAACTCCCAGAAAACGACGACCTGTAGCTGGACAAAAAGTTACCGAGAGACGCCGGGACTCGACCTGAATTTTGTCAATTTGAATTTTTCATCAGTTTGCTCCGACCTTAGTATATAAAGCGCGAGTTTTTACTCAAGTACTTGGCCAGAGCGTCGAAAAAATCGTTTTCCTTGAGTACGTCTACCTTGCGCAGGACAAAAAGGTACCGAAACTTACTGTTGATTTTTGCATGTTTTTTTTTTTAAATTTTGCGCTGTTTACAATATCTGAATGCATTGGATTTTGCATAAAAACAAAAAAAACTCGACTGGCTCTATCGGTCGATTGTTTATTATTGTCAGAATCTTAACCTTACAACAATCATAACGATAATGGCACGGGTTAATGAAGATCAAATTGCTAGAAATCGCATTCTAGAATGCATTATCAGAAGCATGCATCCCGAAGAAAATCCAGGCAATAGACAGGTGGGCAGGCCGCGAAATCGAGTGCGCGTCGTCAACGGTGATGTCCAACCCAATTTTGAATTGGCGCAGCGTTTATACCGGGAACGTTACGGTGATCCCGTACGTTCGACCCAAACGTTTGCTCGGTAAGTTATACTTTTTTTTATCATAATAACTTAACGGTTGTAAAAGATGATTGAATCGATTAACAATCATCAGAATGTGGCGAAGATACCAGGAAAACGGCGATCTCCGCGACCAACGACGCAATGTTAATCGTCATAGGAGACCGGTGCGAGATGGATTAGAGGAAGTTGTTTTGAGGGAGTTTCGAGCGAATGGCCTGCAGAGCGCACGGGGATTGGCTCGACACCTAGGTATCATTTAAACATCAATTAATTTATTATTAAAAACTCTACGGACACTCACCTACGCACGCAGACACGCGTACGTACGTACCCTCACATACACTTACACAAACATACGTTCGTGCACCGATTTACACACACACACACACACACACACGAACACGCGTACGCACCCACATACACACACATATGTAAGCACTCGTATGCGCCCACATGCACGAATACTCGTACGCACCCACATACAGACACATATGGGTAAAATCGCGAGTAATGCCCCAGTGCCACGCGCGGGTTTAACGACAGTTTCCATGGGGTACTCGTTTCGAAGGGCCACTGGCTGCCGAGTTCACTCTGCCCACGTCAAAAAAAAAAAAAAAAAAAAAAAAAAAAACACACACACACGCACACACTAACGTTTAATATTTAAAATTTTTAAATGTATAATACCTACCAATTTTTTACAGGAGCTAATCGAGAAACTGTGCGGCTCATTCTACGCCCCGTGATGAGGCCGTATCACTACATCCCGCAACCCACAGTCCGAGATACTGACCCTTCCGTCAGGTTGCGATTCGCACGCTGGGTAGCCCAAATGGAGGAAGAGAACCCTGGATGGACGAGGACAATCCTGTTTAGTGACGAATCCAACTTCACTCAAGGTGGAACGTTGAACCGACAGAATTATCGGTATTGGTCGGAAAATAATCCTCGGTGGGTTCGCGAGGTAGAGAACCAGCGCCGCTGGACTCTCAATGTCTGGGGAGGTATTGTGGGAGATCGTTTAGTTGGGCCTCATTTTTTCGAAGGTCCACTAGATGGAGCAATGTACATTCAATTTCTCCAAAACGATCTCCCACGACTGCTGCAGGGCAACCCGGTGCCAACTGCTCAAATTTGGTTTCAACAAGATGGTGCACGGCCGCACAGCAGCCGTGACGTCACCAATTACCTGGACGCCGAGTTTCCCGGTCGCTGGATCGGCAACAAGGCTCCAGGAAATAGAAAATGGCCACCGCGCTCTCCGGATATGACGCCATTAGATTTCTATCTCTGGGGTCGGCTAAAAGATCGGTGTTATGCAGAACCGCCGACCACCAAAGAAGATATGAGGCAAAGGATAATTAGGGAATGGAGACTGATAACTCCGAGAGAGTTGCAGCGGGTGCGAAGACATTTTTTAAAAATTATTCATTGTGTAATTGAACATGAAGGTGGTCATGTTCAACCTTATTTGAATTAATTTACTCCTTTTTATTTATATTAAATAAAATATATGTGTTAAATTAAAACGAGCCGTTTTATTTTCAGTATTAAATAAACTTTTTAAACGCATGTGAGTAAATGTGTATGAGTGTATAGGAGCGTGCGAGCATATCAGATCCGGATGTGAGCTTGTGTGCGTATAGTATGTGGATGTGTGGGTGGGTACATGCATGTATGTTTGTGTGCATGTATAATTGTACAGCTTGTACAGCAATTACAATTTTTTAATATTATGCCTTAAATAATCATAAGATAAACGATTAAGTGGTCTTCTTTGTCTCTTCGGCCTGGATTGGGTCTTCGCGTAACTGACCCTGGAATAAAGAACAATCATATTAATATCGCGGTGATACTTATATAAATAATTTTACCTACCTTCACTAATTTATATCCGCGACAAATATGTGGTACTGGCATAGCTTCACCTTTTTCTTTATGAATAAAAAAAATCTGCATCATTTTTTTTATCATGGCCAGGTCTTTCTTATTTGGAAGCTTGTTCCAGGCCTTTTGACCAATTTCTGTCAGAACGTCTATTTGAAAAGTTTATCTTTTTAATTTTAGCGAATTTAAGACCACTTTCACCTAATTATCAATTTAAACTCGAAAGTTACTGAAACTCGCAGTAAAAAATAGATAAAATTTCAACTTTAAATCTTGTTTTTTATACTAAAGATGTAATCAAATTTTATTGAAAGTTTTGTCTGATTGAGTGAGTGGAAACTAGATTTTTCTATTTTTACAGAAAATCTTATTTAGAAACAATTTAAATTTTATGAAGAAAAAGTGAACGTACTCAATCAATATTTTATAATTCAGTTTGTCTACTATTTTCATCGATAAAAGCTTAAAAAGTATATCACTAAAAGGAATAATTATAACAGTTCATATTCATGCAATATATTTGTATGTTGTAACTGAACCGTACTGCATATTTAGAATCATCTTTTTAAACTCTTCTCTGTAACCCAAGTTTATCTGATATTCAATTCTGTATAAGAAATGTTAAATTTTAGGCTCATAAAGATATACTAGCAAATTGTAGTCTAGTATTTCTGACAATGTTTAGAAATAATATGAAAGAAGCAAAATCTAATTGAAATAATTACAATGGTAGATATATTATTGTGCATAACATGAATAAAATTACAATTTATTTGGCAAATGCTGCAGAAAATATTAAATTGACAGTTTGAAAAGTTTGTTTTATGTATCAGTAAATTACACTGTATACAATTCAAATTATCGAAATAAACTTTCTTGAAATCATATGAATCATTTAATTTTACTATGTAAATCAAATCTTTTATACAATTATAAAATGATTTTCTTAAATAAAACATCTACACATAATTATTCTTTCATTTGATTTTGTTTCTATACATAAAATGTCAAATATTGCATTCGAAATCAAATTTTTAAACATTATTGCTCAGATTGACTTGCTCTAAGAATAATTAGTAAAATACCACGAAATAAAAATGTCTAGCTAAAAGAAATATTTAAAATTAATCTGATTTTTGCATTATATTAATGCATTTTTTAAATAATATTTAAATATTTCTTTTAGCTAAAGTTACATAAAATTAACATAAAATTAATCTGATTTTTGCATAATATTAATGCATTTTTTAAATAATATTTATGTCGAAAAAACTTTATTCTGTGAATTCGATAATTGTTATAAAAAATCTCATAATTTTGAAGAAATTATTAAAAAAAAACTTTAAAAATTGTTACTGGTTTTTATAGTTTCTTCCACCTTATATATATATCACAAAAGTAAGGTACGTCAAGGTTGCAATGCAAATAACGTCAAAGATCAATTTACACTCTTTTCTCAATGGTCAAAATTCGATAAGATGCCTTTTTCACAGTCGTCACCATTGGTCACTTTACAGATTTGCCCGATAGTGACGACTGCGAAAAAGCCCTATCCTTTGTTCTCAGTCAGTCGTTCGAGGTTCGTTTAAGACTCGACAGTTCACATGTTGAATTAGTTCAGATACTTGTAAGACACCAATGCCATTTTACCTGTTTCTTAATTAATATATGTATAATTTTTAACGCAATGTCGAACGAAATCCGTCATACTAATTTTGGATACAGCGAATGGATTATATCCTGTAGATTACGGCTTACTCCTGATGAACGTTGGGACTCACTTTTAGAATCTCCGCAATTCAGATGTGATAGGAATAAACTCTGGCGTCTGACTTTAAGATATAATATGTATTCTATAAAAGTGTTTTTGCAACTGTTATCAAAGGATAGCTCGCCTTTTGATCTTTCTGAAAGCTATATATACTTAGTGAATCATCGACCCGATTCTTTGACAAAGAACGAATCACGAATTGAACTTGAAAACTGTGACAGATATTACACATTTAGCGATCAAACGTATAAAGATGTGTTTGACAAATTAAAATCTGTTAATATGACTTCCACAGAAACTATAACATTTCGATTTTTTATTGATGCAAAAATCATTAATAATGCAAGTTATAATAAAGACCCTCAAAAATCTCCAGTATCGTGCTTTGAAAATCTCTTCAACAACTCAGATCTATCGGATATTCAATTGGTGGTTGGCGATGAAACATTTTTTGCTCACAAGGCGATATTAGCAAATGGTAGTACAGTGTTTACAGCCATGTTTAAAAACGATTTGAAAGAAAGCAAAGAAAATGTTGTGGAAATAAATGACATGAGTGCAGAGGGAATGCATAATTTATTGAGATATATGTATACTCACATTGCTAGAATTGATAAAAACATTGTATTTGATCTATTGATGGCTTCGGATAAATATTTAATTCCTAATTTAAAAAAATCATGTGAAAGATATTTACTAGACACTTTAACCATTGAAAATTGTATAGATTATGTTTTGGCTGCAGATTTGTATAACATGTATGAACTAAAAAGTGAAATTATTGTTTTCATTGGTCGGAAATGTAAACTTGATTTTATGAATTCTAAACCATTTGTTCAACTACAGAAATCAAATTTAAAATTGTATGCAGAAATTACCCAACATTTTATGTTTCTTGTTCTCAGATCAAAATGAACATTAGGAGTTATGATTAAAAATGATTTTTCATGTTTTACTATCTAACATTTTGATTGTGTTTATGATATATTTGAATAATTAACACCACCATTCTTATTTTGCATCTTGAAATATTTATTTTTGTACAACCTAATCTAAATATCTGGTTCATAAATTCTTAATTAATTTTGTCTTTGAAATAAATTGAATACAATTTTTTTTTAAGTTGTTAAACATTATTGCTAATATAAATTTCCTTATCTCGCAAGAAGTTTTTAAAAAAATGCCTCATTGAAATGATAGATATAATAGAAAAAAATGTCTAATTGTCATCTTAAACTGAAGTTACGAGGTATAAACAAACAATAACAATTTAGTGACAAATTTGAGATTCCATTGTATGATAATGGAAAACTTTATCAATCTTCAAATTCTTTTTAAATAAGACTGAGAAATCAAGTAGGAACAAAATGTAAAACAATGAATAACTTGATCATGAAACCTTATAATTTATACAAAAATACATCAAATAGAAATAAAGTAGTTATTAAAATAGCCGAATTCAGATTTCTATAAAAATTCAATAATTCTTGGATCTTCTTTTATATAAATAAAAATATTTTATCAACTCATAGTGTAATAATACTTATGCTAGCAATATCAACAATCAACTCTGATTCAAGAAGAACATTTTAAATAATGGTTTTTCATTTTAAAAATCAAATCAGTACAAACATGAATAATTTAAAGATCAAACAAACTCGTGAAGTTAGATCTTAATTATGTTTCACGCTTCGTTCGAGAAATTAGTAGTTGAGGTAACGCCTGGTATATAATTTTTTGAACGAGGCATGAAACATAATTAAAAGCTGAAATTGACAAAAATTCAATGATTGATATTTTCCTATAACGTTGGTAACACTGACTTCATCGTTTTTGCTATACCTAGTTGCATCGTTGAAAGGCGTTGATTTATCCGTTGCTTTGTTGTTTAAAAAAAAAGGAACGAACGTCTTTTATTAAGAAACTTAACACCTTCAAGATTTCTATAATATAAGTTGAGTGCCGAATTGTTGGATACTAGTATTTTACTTCGATCTCTTAATGCAAAAAGTGCTTGACTTTAGTTTTTCCTTGTAGTATACTACGATTAATATAATATACAGATATTGAGTACAGCATCGTTGCAACAATCATATATATACTTTTTAATATTGTTGATTACTCGAAATATTATTTTCATCATGACTGATGGATTCGTTGTAGAGTCTTATCCCCATTACTGTGAGTGGCATATTTATGAATCAGTTATCAAAAAAGCATGTCAGTCATTGGCAAAATTAATTTCTCCTACCTTTTTATACTTGAGAAAGAGACCAATGAGTTTCAAATTAGTTGCAAATAAAGAATTGAATAAATTATTCATCCAATTTGTAAAAACAGAAGATAAATGTGAAATGAAATTCAATTTTAATGGAAGTTTTGTTTTAATCAACAATTCTTGTACCCTCCCAAATACATCAGAAACATTTACGCCAATAATCTTGCAATGTTTACTAAATAGTAGATTAATGTTTTCAATGGACATGTCAATATTCAGTGAAAATATGGATTATTATTTATTTAATGGAAAACTAATAATAAAGTTCTTCATTGAAGCCAAACCTCTTAAAAGTGATAAACAAACTTTGAAATTATTGCATGGATATCCAGAATTACACTCTACAACACTTTATAACAAGCAAGATTTCTCAGACATTAAACTAATCGTAGGTGACAAGAAATTCTGTGCTCATAAAGCTATACTAGCAAATCATAGTCTCGTCTTTGCAACTATGTTCAAAACTGATATGAGAGAGAGTATAGAAAATGTAGTAACAATAAATGATATAAGTGCAGAAGTAGTTGACTGTCTATTAACTTGGATATACAATAATGAAGTCGAATTTCATCATGATACAATATACGATTTATCATATGCCTCAGAAAAATATCAGATATTTGGTTTAAAGAAGTTATGTGAAAAATATTTATATGAATCATTAACAGTGAAGAATTGGGTTGAAATTATTTCCATAGCTGATAAATGTAATATGGAAAATCTGAAGAAAATGATTATTGCATTCATTAACAATCGTAAAGAAATTTTAACTCCTGAAACCTACAATGAGTTGAAGAATCTGAATAAAATGTTGATTTTAGAAGTTTTAGAATGTTTTGTGACTCCTATGACAGAAATCAAATAACCAAAATATTTAATAATCTACATATGAAATTTCATTGGATAAAACTGGTATACACAATAACAGAACTTTAATTGATGTAAGTTAACAATTGAATTGACAATGAAAAATAAAATAATGTACGACTATTTAATTATTATTTACACCAAAGATCCATATAAATGAATTTCTTAACATCATATAGAAATCTACTAAATTTTAATTAAGGCTAAAAACAAATTTTCTTTCAAGTTTATAAAACCTTTTAACCATTTAATTTCCAATTTATTTGCTCTAGAGATTCAAACACTTCCATTTACAAAAGTTGATAGTTTTCTTGCAAAATTTAGATAACTAAGAGATTTGGGTCTCTCTAACTAGATTTGGGTAAAGTTCAGTGATTCGAAGGACAATGAACTAAGTTCAGCTGTGAACATGAATGTTGAAGAAATGTGCACATGCAGTACTTCTCCAGAAAATAAAAGAACAATAAGGGTGAATAAAATTTACTTAACAAAATCAAAAGTAAGGGCGACTGGAATATTGGACCTCTAATTTCCCATATGCAAAACATACTACTCTGTGCTTGTAAGTTTTTTGGCTTGGAATCATTAATTACTCATATGTATTTTCATCTTGTTTATCGTTTGAATAACATAAGTTATGTTGAAAATTATTTCAAACATCAAGTCTTGAATAATCATTTACATTTTAGAAATCAGATACGTTAATGTTTCAATTACGGTAAATAGAATTATCAAAATAACCAGTTTTTTTTCAATTGAATATACTTTATTAGAAGTCTCCTATACATGTGACATGATTTCTCAAAATAAAGGCAAAATTATTTTCACATAGTTCAAAATTGAGAACCCATTGAAGATGTGAGATTTCTCCATCATTTTTTAATAATAAAACTGAAATAAAATTGAAACATGAAAAAAATCCAAGCTAATTGATAAATTCAATCGTTTTCAAATGTATTATTTTAAATCATATGGAAAATATACAACATTGAAAAATAACAATCTACATTAAAAATACTATGTTTATCGCTATCATGAGCTAATTCCTCCTGAGGCCATCAAACACACATGCCACAAAGCGTAATTTTGTTCGTTAGCTGTTTTTACAAAGATTTGCTTTTATAGAACTTTAGTTAGCGACTAAATTTGTTGTTACATTCTTGTTACAACATATTTTTTACTGTAATCGTTACTTAGGCCCGCAGCCGTCCAGCAAATATTAAACATATCTTTGTTCATCAGTCGGTCGATGATCGGTTCGCAGCACTCGACCGGCAGCCGATAATGTATCAGTTCATAGAAACCATCCAGTGCCGAGCCCCAGACGAGCGATTATTGAACTCTACGTTTTTCCCAAAACGCCGAAAACAGGCCATCCGGTAACTGGTTAACTATCGTCGGATCGAACTGCAGCTTTTTTCCCCTCTTCAAATCCGAGTGCAGCGTGGACGAATCTTGTCTTGAACATCGTGGAATTTTGAAGCGAGTCTTGCAGTTTTAATCGGGTTATATTTTTTCGCGCACTGATACACTGATACAATTTCGATTGGAATTAAAAATATTTATTCTATAATTGGCGAGGAACACTCGCAGCCCAGATGTTTTTTCGTTCACGCCGTGCAACTGCTACTGACTGTGCCAAATGTACGCTTCGAATATAAAGAATTAGAGAAAGTGAACATATGCGTGGGTGTATGCGCAGTCGTCTGCGTCTGGTTCCTTTTCGGTAATTCAATGGGTAACTTTCAGAAGTACCCAATGAAAACTTTAATATACAAACCTCAGCTTTCGATCGAGATTATTAAAAAGAAATATTAAAAATTTAATTCTCGAGACATTCGAGTTTTCAATTTTATGTATGGTGATGCCATGAAAAAAACTTTGGAAATTTGAGTGAGAGACCATCGTGATATTGCCCAGTAAACACGTTCAAATCCACGATAATTTCAAAATTTTAGGTAATAATCGACAGTTTACGAATTGAGATTTCCGGTTCTTTTCAGGAGCACTGAGCTAAACACACTAGTATACGAGTGGTGAGGTTGGTAAGGCTGCTCATCATTATATTTACCTTACTTCCTATCTAGCCAAAGCGAAATGAATATTGAATACTGAGATATTTGAGTTTATATATTTTTAAACAGGCCATTATTCTTCTTTCTGCGCTTGCTTTTTCAGTTAGCAACCCTATCATTTTTAATCTCTGCAGCTCATATTCAACATCAATCGATTCTTAATATAGCTTTTGATCTTCAAGTCTTTGTTCAATTATTGGCAATGACTTCTACTCAGAAAATACAGATACATGACGGTCTATAATACAAAAAGCTATGCATACATTATGAACAAAAGAAATGCACTTGCTTTTAGAAGACTGAATTCTTGCTGCAAGATCAGGATGATTCCTGGTGTTTATTTCCGAACGTTACACCTCAACTATCAATTCCAGTCGGCTGTTGAATGACAAATTTGACATCTGCTGGTGTTAACTCGATCAGGCAAAGGTCCCAGAAGCATGACTGCATCTATGTGCCCCATAGATTAATATTGCAGCAAGAATTCGGTCTTTTAACAGCAAGAAACACTCGATTCTTGCCGCAAGAATAAGATGATTCTTGGCATTCGATTTTTATTTTTATCAGTAAAGATGCGAAAAAACACTCTGGGTTGATCGTTGCATGAATATTGAATAAGTGCGGAAACCAAGCGGACGCTAAATGAATAGAGAGCAGTGAATAGCAGTAAAAAAAATCTGAAAACACCACAATATCAATGTACAAAATTCTAATGATAATTCAACCTCCGAGCCTCAGGTAATACAAAATCATTTCAACACAATTTTTATTGAAATTTAGAAACACATCTATCCAAGTAGCTATAGATGTTCATATTTATAATTGTCAATTATCATTTCTTCTCGCACTTGCCGCTCGCGTAATCTTTACAACCTTCGTGAACTGTATTTTGATGTTTAGTCAATCTCGATTTTTCTCCAAATTTTTTATCGCAATGGTCACATTCGTAATCTCTGCGACCATCGTGTATTGTCCTTTGATGGGAAAGCAAATTCGATTTGTGTCCAAATTTCTTCTCACATTTGTCGCATGTGTAATCTCTGCGACCTTCATGAACTGTCTTTTGATGAATGAGCAAATCTGATTTATACCCAAATTTTTTCTCACATTTGTCACATGCATAATCTTTCCGACCATCATGAACTGTTTTTTGGTGTCTATTAAACTGTCCTTTTTCTCCAAATTTTTTATCGCAATATTCACATTCGTAATCTCTGCGACCATCGTGTATTATCCTTTGATGGGAAAGCAAATTCGATTTGTGTCCAAATTTTTGTTCGCACTTGTCGCATGCATAATCTCTCCGACCTTCATGAACTGTTTTTTGGTGTCTATTAAACTGTCCTTTTTCTCCAAATTTTTTATCGCAATGGTCACATGCGTAATCTTTCCGACCTTCGTGGACTGTTTTTATGTGCAACAGCAAATTACATTTATGTGCAAATTTCTTCTCGCACTTGTCGCATTCGAAATCTTTCCGACCTTCGTGTAATGTTTTTTGATGTAAAAGCAAACTCGATTTCCATCGAAACACTTTCTTGCACGTGTCGCATGTGTAATCTCTGCGACCTTCGTGTAATGTTTTTTGGTGGACAAGCAACATCCGTTTGTATCTGAATTTCTTCTCGCAATTGTCGCATGGGTGGTCTTTTCGACCTTCGTGTAATTTTTTTTGGTGTGAAAGCAAATTCGATTTCCATCGAAACACTTTCTTGCACGTGTCGCATGTGTAATCTCTGCGACCTTCGTGGACTGTCTTTTGATGAGTGAGCAAATAGCATTTATATCCAAATTTCTTCTCGCATTTGTCGCATGCGAAGTCATTGCGACCTTTGATTTCGCAATGCATTGTCTTTATGTGCACGAGCAAACTATGTTTATTATCAAATCTTTTCGCGCACATTTCACATAAGTAATTTTTGAATACTTCGTGGAATATTTTTTTGTGCTTGAGTAAAGTTAATTTACTTTCAAATTTCCTCTCGCACTTGTTACACGTGAAATCTTTGTTGCAATTTTTGTGTACTAATTTCTTGTGCGTAGATTTTTTCACGAGTTTCTTGTCGCACTTGTCGCAAGCGTAATTTTTATGATTATTGTAAGTTGTGTCTCGGAGGGTTTTCATACTCGATTCTTGTGTAAATGTCTCCTGACAAATATCACAAACATATTTTTTATCGTCTAAGACATCAATTTCGTGTTGACTTAAATTACTTTTCGAGACAACTTTCTCTGATTTCTTTTCACTGTTATCCATTTTCGAGCTTAAATTGAACTATGGATTCTTCTATTTAGTGCCACGGAAACTAAACAAGTAAAATTTATCTTTTGTTGTTATGACTTGTTATATCGAGAAAGACAATTTTCGAACTGATTTGCTTTCACTATAAACATGATCAATGTATTCGAGGGGCGACGTTAAAGCCATTAATTTTTTTACACTTTTTTACTTTTTATTACAGTTTGCAACATTATTATGTACTTTATTTTAAAAAAATTTCCACTGGAAAATGTACTAAATTCCAATAATCATACATTGGCTGTAAAATTTTGAACCTTATTGATCTGTCTGTATATCATTTGAATTTTTTGTGCTTGAATCATAATGTTTGCCGAAAGTAGTAAATTTTTCATAGAGAAATTTACAAATACTTGTTAAAAGATAATTGTATAGCTCTGACTTTTATTGTTTCGACTTTTGTTAATTATTACTGTGTATATTGTCGATTCAATTCGTATATATCTTCGAGATAGATAAAATAACAGCTGATATGAAGAAAGACTAAATTAATTTGGCACATTTTTTATTTCAATTTTATTAAAACTTTTACTTGAACATTTATATAAGTTTCCTATATATAATTACAATTGTCAAAAAAGTGGTGTTTTTCATTTTTTCGCTATTTTCTGAGGATTTATTCCA